CACACACACACACACACACACACACACACACACACACACACACACACACACACACACACACACACACACACACACAAACGCACGCACGCACACACACACACCACTTATTGCGTGGCACTGAATACTTCCAGCAATTTACTTGGCCCCACCAACAAATGTCATGCACCTGATCTCAGTGCAGATATCAAAAATTGTCGCCCCATTTGTCATTTCAAATCATTTGATTGACAACACAAACCAGCCAAGTCAAAATGGCACATCCTGAAAAGCCTCAGCCCACTCTGTTGGCATTGCCAGCGGCGCCACAGCCCGTCCCCAAGCCACTTCCCAGAACCACGCCAGCTCGCTAACGCTGCGCAGCGGCACGCGGCCGCCCTCCAGCTGTTCCAGGCACGCCCAGCACGCCCCTGCACTCTCGAAATCCGGGACACTCTTGGGGCTGTCGCGCGGCGCGGGCAGGCTGCTGCTCAGGACGCGACTGCTACTGCTAGGCCGTTCCGCGGCTGCCACCCGCTTCAACGCATCTGCAGCAGCAGCTCTGGCGCCATCCCAGCCACTGGCGTCGGCAGCCAGGACACTACCTCCCGCATATCCACCGCCGCCACCGACGGCGGCAGCCGCAGCAGATGTTTCGGCCGCACCCAGGCCACCCGCGTCATCCTCTAGCGGCTCCCCGTAAAAGATGACGCGCCGCCACTGGCCGCGCACATGGCTCTCGCAGCAGAGCACCCCCTTCAATTCGATCGCCACGCCGGCCTCCTCCGCCGTCTCCCGCAGCGCGGCGGCTGTGAGGCTTTCTCCGGGGTCGACGCCGCCGCCGGGCAGCCAGAAGCCCTGCCCCGCGAATTCCTGGGGGTGTGGGTGAGGGGCGGTGGGGATGGGTTTGGCAAGGCTGTAAGAACGGGTCGATCAGGTATGGGTTGATGGTACAGTCGACACAAGTTTTCAGGTCAGCAACGTTTCGAAGGTTGCGTGTGTGCGTGGGGAGACACCAGCCCTCAAGCCCCGAGGAAACTGCCTTGCCGCCGCACACGCAGGGGTGCGCGCCTTGAGCTAAACACCCACGCTATCAAACTTGCAGGCATGCTTTGATCTCGGCATGCAAGACACTCTGGACACACACGTGATGCCCCTTCAACCGCTGCAGATGCACCCACCTGAGTCACCAGAAACTTCCCGTCCCGCGGCCGCCGCACCACCGCCAGCGCAAACACGCCGGTGCGCTCCTCAGCCTCGCAGCCAGCAGGAGGATGAACCTCGTGCAGGTGGCGCGCCAGGTTCGACGTCACCCTGGGTGGAGCGATGTTTGGTGCATGTGTTGCTTGGACATGGCGTTGGCCACGTGCAGCTGTGTTTTCTTGGGTGTGGGGGTGAGGCTCCGGCTGCAAATGGACCTTGCTGCGCCCAGGTGCCAAAGGAGTGATGCACAGCAGCAGGGGAGCCGGGGCAAGCCGCGCCGTGGACGCGGCGGGGCGGCCTCAGCTGGCCGCAGTGGCGGCCCTGCAGCAGGCAGGGTGACCCAGCACCGGCCAGCCCAGCGGTTTGGCCCCGGGCGCCAGCCCAGCGTGCTGCCCGCCTGCAGTGATGCCGATTGCTAGCCAGCATCCCAGAAGCGGTTAAGTGCAGCCGCTCACCTGCCGCACACCGGGCAGCTTCCCTCCAGGTTCTCTGCGTAAATGTGGTACAGTGGCTGGTGCTCCCAGTACCCCCGCAGCGTCAGCCCGGCCAGCCCGCACCAGGCGCAGGCCAGGGCCCCGCCCAGCTGAGTGCGCGCGACGCGCGCCAGAGCGCGCGCGGCGGCGGCGGCGCTGGCGGTTGCCATGTTGGCGCCGGCGGCGAAGGCGGAGACGCGGAGGGCCGGGTCCTCTGTGGCGTCTGGGTGGCTGGTCGGGTGTGTCGGGAGGGTGATGAGGATAAGGTCAGTTGGTGTGGAGGGGTCCTGGTCGGACTGTCAACAAGGCCCCTGGTGATGTGCCGGGACCGGCAAGTGGCAGCTGCTTATTGAAGAAAAACTCGATACCCATGCATCATCAGAGGTCAGGGTTAGGGAGCTGCCAGCGCTGTGCAACCTCCCCGGATGAATAAGGTGCCACCCACCAGCAAACGATGAACATGGTCGGGGCCGCCGCCCGCAGCACCCGTATCGCAGCTAGCTGCGTGCCGCCGCCTGCCGCCGGCACCAGCGCCGCCTCCAGCGGGCCGCAGCAGCCGCTGCTGCCGCTGCCGCTGGCCCGCTGCCGCGCCGTGCCACGCGCCGCCGCCAGCGCCTCAGCCGCCGACGGCGGCGGCGCTCCCCCAGCAGGCGGCGTTGCGCGGCTGCCGCCGGGGCTCAGGGCGGCGCTTGTGAGCGGCAGGGGGATCAGGTGGAAGCCTGAAAGCTCCCCATGTCTAATCGGCAGCGCCTCAGGTGCGTCGCACAGCTCTACAGCAAAGACGTCCACGCGCGCCTGCCCGAGCAGCGCGTGTGCGCCGGTGTCATCGTCGTCACCCTGCATCGGGGCGGGTGAAGGAGCGCTGCTGCGAGACGGCCAGCTGTGAGGCCGACAGATATTCGAGTTGCGTGACGTATCAGGATGGCTGAAGCTGTGTAGCGGGCTGATGACACGGCGAGAAATCATAAATTATCGTGTGATGCGCTGCTTGATTGGCTACGCAATCAGCTTGAAACCAGCAAAATGACACCTGAGAGACAGTCAAAGTTAATTGTATGCAGCGTCATGGGCCCTCTGCGTTACCAACAGGAGCGCGCTGATAATGTCGCCCGCACGCACCCCCAAGTGAGCGCTGGGCCAAGTGCCTGGGCTGATTCCTCACTGTCTGCTGAAGGATGTCTGCTGAAGTGTTCAGTATATGATCTGCGCAAACACCCCAGCACTGGCGGCGCACTCCGTTCTACGTACCGCCCGATTCGGGGGGGTTTGTTCCTTCTGGGTGGAGAGCTGCACATGTCAGCCCGCCCCACGCGTGCCTGGTTTTTGTGTTATTGGGACGCGTCACACGCCACGGGGGCTATTGCGCCGTGCCTCGCTGACCGCACCTCTGCCTTGCACTTCCCCTACAGTTTGTCGGCAGACCGCAACGTTCACCCCCTTTTTACCTGGAGCGGCTCACCACCGGGACACCCACGCGAGCAACAGCATACGCGGCTTTTGCACACCTGCTGCACATTTTCACACCTACCGTGGTATCTGCGGCTCAGGACATTTTGCGCTGCACCGGCTGGCCTGCTGCCTACCGCGCAGGTGATTCAGTGTATCGAGGGGTACCGGTGGCACGGGTATGGGCGGGATATCCCAATCGCTTTGAGCACACTGCTGCTTGCCACACCTGCCGTGTGCGGTGTCTACGGTGATGACCACTCTGCCCCTCGGTGATCGAACCCTCGTCAGTGCATGCATGATACGACGATTTTTTCACATATGATCCCAACCTGGTATCGCACGTCTGAACCCCTCCGGACGAGGTTTTCACGAGCTTGTGACACCACCCCTGCTGCAATTGTTGACCACACCGCACACGACAATCCTGCGCAACTCAGCACGCATTTTTATCTTCCAGACTTCAGCGCCCGCCTGTCGCTTCAGAATGACGCTGTATTGCAACGCTTTGCCGCAGTTGGCCAGTTCCCCATGCACGGCCGACGTGCTTTGGCCTGTGGGAGCGCACGATTGTGCCGCACCGTGCCGGGCAGCGTCCCTGCTGTTCCGGGCCCTCCTGCGCCTCAAAGCATACATGCTTGTGCGTCAAGCTTCGTCTGAATGGATGCGTGTCTCTTCATCTTCTGGCATGCATGGCTGAAGCCGGGGGCTGAGGGGTCTTCATGGCTGGTGCGCACCAGGAGCGTACGCCTGTGGGCAGTGACAGAGGCCAGCAACACCAGCAGGCATGAACCGCCTTATCAAAGGTCCCAGACCTGCAGGGCGTTCGTTCTGAGGAGCTCTGTCCTGACCTGTCGCACCAGCCAGCTGCCATGTTGCCAACTGGTTGCTCGGCCAGTAGTCACTCTGCAGAGGCTCCACCGCACGTTAATTGCCAAATCAGGCGACCTCAAGAGAATGAGCTTGTCAGGCGCGCATGCACGTACAGGCACACGCACGCACGGACGCGTACACGCACGCACGCGCGCATGCACACACACGCACACCCGAACGTATGCACGCACGCAGAGCGCACGTGTGGCTACCTGCGGGCTACAGCACTTCGTAAGGATTGCACACCACTTTAAACAAGCAATACCGCTGCTGGGCTTGCGCAGGGTCGGCATGGGCAGCGGCTGCGTGGGCTGCGTGGTGCCAGCGTGGGTGTCGCTGAGAGCGGTGCGCAAGATCGCATACTTCTGGGGTAGGTGATGATCTATCATGCTTATATCATGTAATTGCAGCCACTTCAGCCGGGATCGCGCAGAGAAAAGGCGTACGGCGGAGTTTGATGCAGTCGCTAGATCGCGAATGTTGCGTGAAGGAGCGCAAAAAGAACGTTATGCTGATGAATTAGAATATAGATTCATTATTTTTTGGATTCCGTGTGCTGGAACGGCGTCACCTGCATGGGGTCAATCGTTTGACCTGCAGCATATGTAGGTGAGCCCATCAGCCAACTCACCTAGTATGCTGCCCATCAACACCTGTGCAACACATGGATGTGCCTAGTGATTTGGCCTCCCCGATGACATGGCAGCGCGGCACTCATCTCCACGTGGCCGCCGCGGTGCCTCGCAAACACTTGCATGGCCCCACCTCTGGCCTCTCACAACACACACCTCCGTCGTCGTGCACTGTCGCCCCACCAAATATGCTGTGATTGTTACTTGAATTGCTTAGAAGGTTCCTTCTTGCAAGGCGCGCGGGCTGCCGCTGCTTGCGCGGCGGCAGTGCGCGCGCCACCAGGACTCACCCCCTCCCCTCTGCACTGCCCAGCTCTGCTTCCAGGACTCGGGTCTATGATCCCGCTACGGTCCACCATCCGGCTACTTTCTACCAAATGGCTACAGTCTACCATCCGGCTACTTTCTACCAATTGGCTACCGTCTACATCCGGCTACAGTCTACATCCGGCTACAGTTTACATCCGGCTACGGTTACCATCCAGCTACAGTCTACCATCCGGCTACAGGCCACCTGCACCATTGGTGGGGCGCTAGTGGAACATGGGGATCAAGCCAGGGGGTTCAAGCATTGCCACCTCTCCTCGTCCCACAGCCGCAGAGCAGCGAGCCATTTTGGTGGAGGCGAGCGGCGGAGAGGAGAGGAGGAGAGCGGCGCAATACTTACATCTATGCATGATCGTGTGTGCGCCTGCTTGGTTTGCCTGGTTGGTTTGCCTGCTTCGTTTGCCTGCTTCGTTTGCCTGCTCGGTGTGTTTGCCTGCTTGCGTTTTTGCCTGCTTGCGTTTTTTGGAGCCCGATTGCAGCACACCTCCTCGTGGTGGGCTCTGGAACGGCGGCGGGCTTTCCTTTGCCCGTCTGCCAACCAAGCTGCTGCATTTTCCCTTTGCTTGTGTGGCATTATGCCAGGGCCTTTGTAAATGAGCTGATGCTTCTGACTTGCTCCCAATGACCTCCAGTACGGTGTACTCATTCTGTGAGGACTCCCCCTTGGCTGCCAGCTGATGCAGCAGAAGAACATATTTACTCCTGACAATGGGGTTAAAAACCCAAACAAGTACGCAAGAGGAAGATGCGAAGCAGAAAGCTGACGTGAATGCAAGGGAGATGTGATTATGGTGATTTGTACACATATGATTGACACAGCAACCACTCAGCAGCGACTGAGAGGCTGCACACAGCCCAAAGAGTTGCAAAACAAGATACCTTGCGTCAAACCCCCTGCATAGCTGTGGCGAGCTGTTGCCTCACACCCACGCTTCCCGCATGCCAAGGTTCACCCCAGAGCGCGCTGCAGCTCTTCGCGCGCCGCCACAAAGTCAAACGCTGACTCTGGGCGCGGCAGCAGCACCTTGGCCCGGCCCGTGCCCAGGGGGGCTGCGTCCTCATAAGCCAGTCGCTCTAGATCGTCCAAGAAGGGCTGCCCAAACTCAGCTCCCATTGCTTCGTCAGCGCTGATGTCATCCTAGAATAAAAGCGGGGACGAGACGGCGGATGTGGAATAGGCAGGGCTTTGCAGGCTACATACCGCTCATTTTTCAGGTGGCGCAGAGCGCTGTTAGTTTGCTGCTCGGGCGCTGACTTATGCACTGCTCAAGCAGCCGCCATTTGCTCCGGCTCAGCGCAGTCATAATACGGTAGCCACAGCCCTAATGAGGGGCGCCCAGCCTCCCATCTTCCACAGCACAGAGTCAGTCAAATGAGTGCACCCAGGGTCTCACCAGTGAGTCAATAAGGCATGACAGGAGGGCCGCGCACGACAGCCGCTCAACGCCCGCGGCAGACAGCAGCCGCAGCAGCGGCGCTAGGGCGACCGCGCGGCCTGCAGCTAGCAGCTGCTGCGCCAGACGCGCTGCCGTCGCCTGCAGCGACGCGTGCACACGGGCGGCACAGCTTCCGCTGCCGTCAGGGCCGGCTTCATCCGTCCGCGCCATCTCAGACGCACGACAGAACAGCCCCAAGCCCTCGGCCACCTCGCCAGCTGCCACCAGCGCGCCAGCCGCCGCCGCACACACGCCTGCGTCTGCCACTGGCAGCGCCGGTTGATCCCCTGCACGCTTTGCCCGCCCACCACGCCCGCCGCCGCCCCCGGCCACGCCCGCCCTTGCTCCCCTCGCCGCGGCCCCCTTCCTATCGCCGCCAACCGCCGCCGCCGCCGCACCGCCGCGGAACTCGCACAGCGCGAGCAGGCGGCGCGCCATCCGCGCGGCGGCCTGCGGCTCTGCGACCGCGCAGTCTGCCAGCAGCTCCATACCACCCTCCACTGCGTCTGGAGGGAATCCCTGCAACTCCTCCGACCCCGCCACCCACAGCGCCCCTCCCTCCAACAAAAACTGCTCTAAGCCCTCAATCACGACAGATGCCCCGCCGGCGCTCGCCGCCGCAGCCGCGCTCTTGCCGTCGCTGGCGCGGGCGCGGACAAAGGCGGGCCAGGCGGCCGGGCTGCGGGGCGCCCAGGTGGCGCCATCTGGGCAGAGCTTCTGGGCGGTCACCAGAATAGAGGCTGGGGCTGGGGTTTGGGGGGGGGGGGCGTGGTTGATGAGTGAGCGGAGAAGGCATCAACACATCAGTCTGGGAGGGGCAGATGCCCAGAGGAAGTGCCTGCACGTGCGACCCGCATAGGGCTTCCCTCCGCGACACCAAAATTCAGGTTGCCCATCGACATGTTTGAACAAGAGGGGGCGCCCAAACGCTCTTGTCGGTCTCCCCCTCTTCACACCCGTGGAACCAAACACCAGCTCCGGTTCTGCAGTGGCCGCCACCAGCGCCGCCTCCAGCACGCCGTCCTCGAGATCCAAGCGCCATACCGCCTGCCGGTACTCCTGGTACAGATCCAACACTGCCGCGTGCAGTCCCGCAGCCGAGCACAGCAGCAGCGCCAGCCGCTGCGCCTCACACCAGCCGCTGGCGCCGTTGGGCAGGCGGAACCATTGGTCTGGGGCGTCTGCGGCGGCACTGGCGCAGCAAGCGGCAAGCTCGAGCCGCACCTCGGCCGCGGCGCATGTGATGGCCTGCCAGCCGGCCGCGAGACGCAGCTGCTCGCGTGCCGCGTCCTCCTGCCCCGCTGCCGCGGCGGCGGTTGCGCGGGCAGAGGCTGCACAGGCTGTACGCGCAGCAAAGCCGTCCTCGTCAACTGCTGCCGAAGACAGAGCGCACTCCAGCGCCCGACCCAGCGCGGCGGCGCGCCCGCCGCCATCTCCCCTGGCCTCTCGCGCCGCGTCAGCGATCGCCGCTTGTGCCTCTGCGACCAGGCTCTCGTGCGCCATCAGCCACAGCTCACTGGCCGTGGCCTGCTCCTCCCTGCCGGCCCTGCAACTGCGCAGCACATCTGCCCAAGTCTGCGGCGGCAGTGGGCGGCCGCCGTCCCTGATTGCCGACGCCAGCACAGTGGCGCGGCCGAGGTCGCCGGCAGCCACGTGAGCCAGGAGGTACGAGTGGAGCGCATCGTCGCTTAGCGCCAGGGCGGCCTCAGGGCCGCCCGCGCCACCCGTTGAGCGTGCCAGCAGGCCGAGCAGGCGCCGCGCGTCGGCCACCGCGCCGTGCGCCGCTGCTTCCTCCGCCGCGGTCTGCAAGACGGCCGTTGGTGGTTGGGCAGCGGCGGCGGGCAGCGCACCCCACGCGGCCGTGAGCGCGGCGAGGGCGCCGGCGCCTTTGTAAGTGCAGGGGCCACCTACGGCGGCCACGAGGGCCCAGGCGCGCTCGTGGTTGCCCTGCTGAGCCAAGGCCGCCAGCACTCCGTCGACCATTGCCCCATCCAGCAGACCGACAGCCGCCCCGTCGCCGCCGGCCGTCTGGCATAAGCAGTCAAACGCCTCCATGACCGCCGCGGCCGGCGGCCCCGGCGCCGTCGACGAGGCACGTGCCTTGGCAGCTGTGAGACATGCCACCAGCGCCGCAACAGCTTCAGCCGGCAGCGGCACGGGTGCGCCTGGCAGCGGCGGCCGCCGTGTGCCGGGCAGTTGCCCCAGCTCCCCGGTTTGCGCGAGGCGCAACATGCGCAGCGCCCCCGCATGATCGCGCTGCCGCGAGAAACCAACAACCAGCTCGGACAGGGCTTCGCTCAGGCGCGTGCCAGCCAGCTGCCCGCCGCGCCAGGCGGTTCGCAGCAGCTGCACACCGAGCTCCTGCCGCCCGACGTCAGCCGCGGCCCTGACGAGAGTCGCGGACAGCACCGCGCTGCGGGCGCCGCGGCGGCGGACCAGCCGCACCAGCGGCGCCAGGCGGGGCGCGGCAAGGAGCAGCGCCTGCGCCGCTTCTTGGGAGGGGTGGCGGCCGAGCGGCTCGTATGCGCGAGCGATGATGAGCGCCCGGGCCGCCCTCTCGCTGCCCTGTCCTGACCCATCTTCCTGCTCCTTCTGGCTGTCTGCCAAGAGATTAGTCAGCTCTGCGTCCAGCTGGCCCGCGGCCTCATCACATATGTGCGCTCTGTTCCACCCTGCGACCGCCGCCGTCGCCTCTGCAAGCGCCTCCCGCGCCGCGTCGAGGCCCCCGCTGCCGCTGCGGCTGCCGGCCACGCGGCACGCCTCGCTCATGATGTGGTGTCCCGTGCGCGGCAGCGGCCCGGGCGGCAAGGGCAGGAGGCGCAGGGCGGCGGCAGGGCCCGTGTCGCCGCGGTCGCCGCCGCCCGTGCCTGCGGGTGTTGCGCCCATCACTCTCAGCAGGGCCACCACTGCCACATCCAGCGCCTGCATCTCTGCCCACCGTTCGTCCTCATCACCCCATGTGCCGATGCCCCGCCCAAACTCCACCACCACCCCCTCCAGCGAGGCTGCGTCCTCGTCAGCGGCCAGCTTTTGAGCCCAGAAGTTGAGGGTGGAGCGGCGCAGGGTAGACAGCCACGCGCCAGGGCCAAAGCCAGGGCCAGGGCCGTGTCCATGGCCGCGTGTGGAGGCGAGGCCTTCAGGGGCGCGGCGGAAGAGCGCCTGCGCGGGAATTGAGGTGGGCATGCGGCGTGTAAGTCGACGGCAGATTTTGGGGGTTGAGCAGCTAGTCAACACGATACTGCAGGCGCATGGCATCGCCCTGCTGTGGCGCTGCAGTTTGATGCCGCGTGCATCGTCCAGCGTTTGCCTAGGGTTGAGGCCAGGTCAACCTCACACGCACCAGGGCCAGATCCAAGCTCCCCTCCAGCTCGGTGCCCAGGATTATCAGCAGCGAGGCTACGGCCTCGTCGAGTGCCTGCATCTCCGCCCGCTGGCCGCCCTTGTCTCCCCACACGCCGACGCCGCGCCCAAATTCCACAATCAAGCCCTCCAGCGCGGCTGCGTCCCCGTCAGCGGCCAGCTTCTGAGCCCAGAAATTGAGGGTGGAGCGGCGCAGGGTAGACAGCCACGCGCCAGGGCCAAAGCCGGGGCCGGGCCTGTGTCCGCGGCCGCGGGTGGAGATGTCGGCTTCGTGGGCGCGGCGGAAGAGCGCCTGCGCGGAAATAGGTGGGCGTGCACCATATGTGTCGAGGTGCGGCAGAATTTTGGGGTTGATGGGTGCAGCCGCGTCGGCGCCTGTGACTGTTAATCCGGGGTTGTGCCGCTGGTGAACACGCTACTGCAGGCGCGTGGCATCGCCCTGCTGTGGCGCTGCAGCTTGATGTCCCGTGCATCGTCCAGCCTTGGCTTGAAGCCGGGTCAAGCCCACGCGCACCAGAGCCAGGTCCAAGCTCCCCTCCAGCTGGGTGCCCAGGATTATCAGCAGCGACGCCACGGCCTCGTCGAGCGCCTTCATCTCTGCCCGCTGGTCCTCCTCGTCCCCCCATGTGCCGATGCCGCGCCCAAACTCCACAACCAAGCCCTCCAGACCGGCCGCGTCCTTGTCAGCGGCCAGCTTCTGAGCCCAGAAGCTGAAGGTGGAGCGGCGCAGGGTAGACAGCCACGCGCCAGCAGGGCCAGAGCCAGGGCCACGGCCGCGGCGGCGGGCGGTGAGCAGGGCTGTAGGGGCGCGGCGGAACAGCGCCTGGGCGGGAATCGAGGTGGGCATGTGGAATGTTAGGGTTGACGGCAGATGTTGGGTTTGATGGGCACGGCTGCGTTCGCGCCACGGGCTCCAAGCCGGGGATATGCTGCTAGCAAGTGCGCTGCTCCAAGCGCGCGGCGACGCCTTGCTGTGGCGATGTAGTTTGATGCCGCATTCATCGTCCAGCAGTGGCTTGAAGCAGGGCGGATCGAGCGCGTGCGCACCATGGCCAGGTCAATGCTCCCCTCCAGCGCGGATTGGTGCTCCTGCGCCGCCCCAGGGTAGTCGATCGTGCTGAGGGGGCCGCGCTCGTACAGCGCCACCGGCGCCCCGAGAGGCACCGGCAGCGCCGCCCAGCGCGCAGGCAGCAGCGCCACTGACATGTCCAGCAGCGCGCGGCACCGCGCCGCCTCGGCCTCGGACAGCAGACCCTCCGCGTCCGCGGCCGCAACAGCCGCGGCCAGCCGCGCGCAGCGGGCCGAGGCCTCGTCGAGCGGCGCCTCTTGGCAAGCGGCAAAAGCGCCCGCACAGCGCAGAGACAGCAGCTCCCCCTCTGACAGCGCCGCCGCCGCACCGCCGGCGCGCGTCCCGGCGGCCGGGCTGCGCGCTGCTGCTGCCGCCGCCGCGGCGGCCGGCCCCAGGTCAGCGAGCAGCTTGGCGGGCAGGGCGCCGTTGGCAACCACACCCCTTCGCACCACCTCGTCCAACAGGACCGCCTCAAACTGGGCGAGGTCCAGCCACAACCGCGCCTTGCCGGCCGCGCCAGGCGGGGTGTGCCCCAGGCGCGAGGTCACCATGGCCAGTGCGGCCCCCACATTGAAGCCCCTGGTGGTCGCCGTGAACCCCGCAAATTCGCGGTCCACAGCTTGCCTGGCCGCCGACTGCACAGGTGCAGACCCCCGCACAACTTTGTCGCCAAAGGCCTCTCTGAGGACCGCCAGCAGCCGCGGCGGCACGCCCGCCTCGAGGCGCGAGCGCGGCTCCAGGACCCAGCTGCGGCGCGGGGCGCGGGGTGCAACGGCAGCGTGGCGAGCGCGGACGCAAGGGGCCACTGGTGCGGGCTCGAACCAGTGAGAGAGGCCTCGCGGCCACCACCAACGCGCGTCATGAGTACCGGGGGACACAGCCTGATGGGCCGCCGGGGTGCTGCCGCAACGGTTGCAGCAGCAGCAGACCACAGTGGTGGATGCAAGGAGACACGGCCCGCGACGAACGAAATCAATCTTGGTGGCTGCACGGGTGCACACCTGTGCTTGTTTTCAGGCACGGGGGATGAGTGCGCCGTCGGCAGCAGCAGCCGCTGGGCCAGCTCGCCCGAGGCGGCGACGCGCTGCTCAATCTCCACCTGCGCAGCGATGTACTGCCACCTGCAGGCAGGACAGGGCAGGGCGAGCGCGACAGGATCGTGGGTGGGCCCCTGCACGAGCGATTCCCGTTCAGCAAGCCAGGACGACCGGAGGGTGGGCACGCCGTATGTGCGTTTGCGAGTGTGTGCGCGCGTGCGTATGAGGGCATGCCTGGGGCCGGGCGACAGCGCCTGCGGGCAGGGGATTGTGCCTGTGCGCGGCCTGGGCGCTGAGCTGCACAGCACACTCGGACAGCCAGGGGCGCTCGCGCCGTGACTCATCCAGCCCGCAGACGCCCAGCGAGCCAAATTGCGTGCTGCAGGCCTGACCGCCCAGCTGAGCCGCGAAGCGAAAGACCGCCCCACGATTCTGCCAAAACACCGTCTGCCCCGTCCCCCCCCCCTTTGCCCTGCCCCACCAGGGATCTTCGCCCGGCCCTGAGTGAGCCGCGTCTTGTCTGGAACCGAGGTGCAACTTGCGCATGAATTCAGCGTGGTAAGGTATGCTGTCATCCGTGGTGGACCCGTAGGCCGGAGCGCTTGATGGGTAGCTGAACAGCTCGGGTGCCGGCTCCTGGAGGGGGGGCCGCGCAGGGCGTATTGGATGCGTATCGTGGGGGTGCTGGAGACAGGGAGCCGCTTCGTTGGGGTAGGCAGGGGAGCCGTAGGATGCGCAGGTGTGTATGTATGTGTGTGTGTGTGTGTGTGTGTGAGTGTGTGTGTGTGTGTGTGTGTGTGTGTGTGTG